GTTCGATCAATCGAAAGGAATTTCGATTGATCGAAAAGTCCTGGGAAGAAAAAAATTTTATTTTTTATTTTTTTTGTGCCTAACATGCATGAAATCTTCAATGAAGCTCAATGGAACATATCTAGACATCGCAAGAAGTGAAAAATAAAAAGAAATGGGAGAGGAATAGAGTTGAAAACTCTACGAATGCTAATGTTTAACGTCTCTAACAAGACGTTGGGTCGGCTCACTAGTCGAACGAATCAAAAACCGGATATAAAACATCTTTATTGACCCTCTTTTCAATTTTCTTATTTAATGCCTCATTTACGACAATGAAATCATCCTCCAAAAGAATGACTTGAAAAGAAATGAAAGAGATGATTTCGTTCCTTTTATCCACGGTCTTTAAAACAAAATCAATAATGGTTTGCCTTGCCTCATTTTTGTACTCTTGAAGTGTATTCAAAGAATCATTTCCTTTGTGAATTAGCAAGTCAATGTCTTTCAAATGTCTCATTTGAAATATCAAGAAACACCTTCTCTTCATCCTTTTTCTCTTCCTCAAAAATTACCATCTCCTCACCTTCCAAATTAGCTAAGGAGTCCATTAGAGAGTTTATTTCATTTTTGGAGCTTTCAAGGTCAAAACCACAATTTTTATATTTTTCAAAAAGGCATGTCTCAAGAGGGCATTTGGAGATAATAGAAGGAAGGCTCTCTTCAACAAGTTCCTCCTCCTCCTCCTTTCCTACCTCTATATTGGTCATCATCTCCTCACTCTCTAAAGTAGCAATGGCCGGGATAAAATCATGATCAAAATAAGGAAAATCCTCATTAATCATGTTGTGCTCTATTGGATTAGCCACTAACTCACTTTCCACTTCCTCCTCTATACAAGATAGAGTGTCAGGCATTAGCTCACTTGTCTCATCCTCCTCATTCTCCTCATCCTCATCTATATAAATTGAAATTCTTGCCATTTGTTCATTTACCTTTTCTTCCTCCTCTTGACGAGAAAGAATATTTGCAATTTGCTCAATTTGAGCTTATAACTTGGCTAAAGTTTGAAAATGAGAATTAATAAGTTGAGTTTGTGAAATATGCATATCAAGTAAAGCTAACACTTTTTCTTGAAACTCGGCTGAATAAGGTGATGGAGGTGATTTTTCATAAAATGGTGGAGGAGGGTAGTAGTCATAAGAAGGATTAAAAGTGATCAAGTCCATAATAAGATGATACATAAAATGAATTGGACTCAATCTCATAAGGATTAAAATATAATGGGGGGGCATAAGGTGAAGGAATGTAATTTCCTCCCAAACTTGGATCAAACAATGGCTCTATCTACAATCAAAATCCAAATGCAAGAAAAAAAAAAAATTGGCCTTGACACGGGCTGATGCTCAGACTTAAAATAAAGCAATGAAATTAGCCTTAAAAGGGCTATCACAAGCATGCAAAGAAGTGAAACAATTAAACTACGAGATTTTTAAGAAATGCTCACAAAGGTCATTAAACAACTTCAAATTCCAATGCTAGTTTTAAGCTCCAATGATTGATTTAAGATCCAATGTTTGCCTTCTTTGTAGTCAAGTACCTAATTGAACAAATATTATCAAGAATGAGAAAAGAATATACAATGGAAAATAAAATAAAAATAGATACAATCAAATAAACACTATTGTCTAGTCTAACTCCAACAAAACCGTTAATCCCCGGCAACGGCGCCAAAATTATGATGCGACCCGAGTGTGTGCACAAAATAATACACAACACTTTGAGTTTGGAAATTAGTGTCAAGTGGGCATCATACTTTAAATTTTTAAACCGTTTAACACTTATACTATATAGTATGAGTGAGAAGGGATCATCCCAAGAGATTATACATGTTGGAATTTAATTTCGACTCTAATGTATCAATTGATAACAAGGAGAGATTGATTGATTAAACTAAGGTGTAATAAAATTAAAATGCAATTAAAACAACTAAATTGATATAGGGTTTGATTGGTAGGAAGAGAGGTCTTGGGGTGTTGGAATCGCCACCAAGTTCGTTCACCAAACCACACAATTTTAACTAATTTGAGGAAAAATATTCTTGTGAACAAAATGCGACTACTAACTGCAATATTAAGCATGGACCAACAAATTCAATAATAAATTGTCTACCTAACCAACAAATAAACTAAGTGTAGAACAACCCATCAATTCTAAGCATGTCCCATCAAACTAGTCACAATTGTAGCACACATCAAGTCAAGTCTAGATTGTCTACCTACCTACAAGTATGAATTAAATTGTAGAATAACCCATCAAGCATAAGCATAATCCATCAAATTAATTGACAAACCCATCTAATAAAAACCATGTCTAGCCATCATTAGATTCTCAATCAACCACACATAGACATGCAATTAATATAGAAAAACTAGTGTAGAGAACAATTCCAAAATAATCACACATAAGACAACATGTAATCACATAGAGAATCAATAGAAAGAATTCATTCATAAAAATCAAAGGAGAACCCAGGATTCATTAAATTCACAAGGCTAAAACATTAATCACAAGATATATTCCCCAAAAAGTATGAAAGAGATAGAGTTTTAGATTACAAACTTGGGGCTCATCCAAGCCCTAAGGAGAAGTCTAGCCAATCATGGAAAAGGTGGATGTGATCTTGGAACCCTCAAGGGAAATCCCCAAACATGGCTCCATCTTCTTTCTCTTCTTCTTTGTTGAATTCTAGAGAGAGTGTGTATATAGATCTTGAGATGTGTTCTTGGAGCCTCCACTCATCTCTTTCCTTCTAATCTTAATCTCTAACTTTTCTAGAGAGAAAAACTAACTATTACAATGTAAAAGTAAAATAAAATTCAAGACAAAAGATAGATTACAAAATGGTTCAATTCCCTTTAAATACAAAGTCCTTGGAGTAGTGAACAAGTCAGAAAATAAGCCTTTAAAATATCTAATCCCGCAACTATCGAAGAAATCTACGATCGATCCAAACCCACTGGTGGCAAAATTCTGCATTTTTTACCTTTTTTTGAATTTTTCTCAAACCTTCTCGGAACTTTTGCTTGACTCCAAAAAGGCTGTAATGGACCATTTTTAGCCCGTTTGAACTTTATTGACCTAAAAATAGACAAAAACATAAATTAGTACTAAAATGAGAAAATAAAGATAAATGAATGGACTAAAATATCCTAACTTAAGTGCTAAAATGCATCACATTTGAGCACTCATCAGTAGGGCAAATAGCTAGTTCCTTGAATGCTAGAGAAAAAAGGAAATTACCTCTTTATCCCGAGCCAAAACCATAATTTGTGGTAGAAACAACTCCCACATTGGGAGGCACCATACATAAACAAGTGAATTCCATCACTACCTTGAGGAGTGGGAGAGTGATTGACAACAAAGTTGATGTCTTTAGTGAAGAGAGTGAACCGGTGCAACCAAGTGTTGGCACCCGTCCCATATCCAATCCTATTCCTCCTTCACCTAGGCAAAGTGTTCACATTGAAGAGAAGTTATCATCCAATGTTTTTGAAAAGCCTTATGAGCTAAAGTCTCCATTCCCGGATGCTTTGAAAGCTTCCTCATCTTTGGAAAATCAACAAGGGAAAGTCAATGAAATGATTGAGGTGTTTAGGCAAGTCAAAGTCAATCTTCCTCTACGTGATATCATCTATCAAATTCCGGCTTATACAAAGTTCTTGAAACTTGTGCACACAAAAGAGGAATTCAAAGAGCCAAGCACCTAGGAAAGTCTTGCTTACCGAGCAAATGAGCTCAATTTTTTAACATAACACCCTCCCAAAATTCAAAGACCCCGGTTCTCCTACCATATCATGGACCATTGGTGATCATGTTATCAATAGGGCTCTTTTGGATTTAGGAGCGAGTGTGAACCTTCTTCCCTATTCGGTTTATGTTTAATTGGGTTTAAGTGATTTGAAGCCCACGTCGGTAGTTTTGCATCTAGCTGACTGGTCTATTAAAAATCCCTGTGGATCATTGAGGATGTGTTAATCAAAGTTGATAAATTCTTCTTCCTGGTTGATTTCGTTGTCATAGATATGGAACCGGTTGCCAATCCAAAAAGTTAAATTCTCATTATCCTTGGGCATCCTTTCTTAGCCATCGCCGATGCTAATGTCAATTGTAAGACGGGGGTAATGAAAATATCTTTTGGCCATATGGAAGTGAAGTTGAATATCTTCAATCCAACTCCTAACTCTTTTGACAAATATGAAGAGGTTAGTGTTGTAGAAAAAATTGTTAAAGAGAAAGTTGAAATAACATCTCTTGTTGATGTACCAAAATCAAGTGTTTTACTCTCTAATGATTCTTCTCAAGGTGTTTCAAAAGTCAAGTTTGAAAGGGCATGGAAACCCAAGAGTCTATCTTTTAGTTTTGACAAAAGTCCTTTAGGCTTCCTTGAACCAAATTCAACAATTTCCTTAGGGAATGGTTTGTTAGGTGGGGCTCAAAGTGCATTGCACTCCATTGAAAGGGGAATGGCAAATAAGATCTTTGATCTGGGCTAAGTAGCCCAACGTCTTGCTAGTGACGTTAAACACTAGCATTCATAGGGTTTTCAAACCCTATTCCTCCCTCATTTCTTTCTTTTGTTATCTTTTGCGTCGTCGAGATAAGTTTCAATGTGTTTCATTTGAGTTTTCGAGCAATTTTGAGCATTTACTGCACTTTCTGTGTCATTTTCGATCGATCCAATAACCTTTTTGATCGATCGAAGTCTGCAGAGTCCATTTTTGCCTAGGAATCACCTCTCGGTATCTATCCTTCGTGATTGATCCCGATCAATCGAAGTAGCTTCTCGATCGATCGAACCTGTGAATTAAAAATTTCCATCTTCCAGAGTATTGTTCGTCAACTTGTCGATCAATTGCCACCATTTTCGATCGATCGTACTAAAGCCAAAATTTCTTCTTGAAAAATCAAATTTGATTCGCGATGGATCGTGAATAAGTCATCGATCGATCGAACTGGGATGTTTCAAATTTCAAAAATGCTTTGGCCGTTCGTATTCTAACCCCAACCCTAATTTTTTTAATTTTTTTTCTCTCTCCTCTCTCTTCTCTTTTCTTTCCTTTTCCTTTTTTTCTTTTTCTTTTCTCTTTCTTCCTCTTTCTCTTTCTCTCTCTAAGCTCTCGGCCTCCCTTACTTCTTCTCTCCCTCGCCGAAACAAAGCAAGCCACCACCACCCACTCATCTCTCAATCTCCATCAACCGCGAACCAAACCCAAACTCCATCTCTCTATTCTCTGTCCGACAAAATTAAAGCCCCAAAGTTTCCCCACTATTCACGCCACCGCTGCCATCTCCATTGTTTCTGGCCGAAGCTCTTGGCGAAGGGTCAAGCCTCCCTTGTTCTTTCAATCTCAGTCTATCTCTATCTCAATCTCCGTCCAGTAAGGCCAAGGAGATACCGGCACCCACCTGCAATTTCCTGCAAGTTTTTTTGCGTCTTTTCATCTTCTCTGGCCGCGATTGGCCAGAAGCTCATCGGATTTTTCCCTCTCTGTTTTGATTCCCTCTCTTGCGAGTATGTACCAATTTCATTTTTTAATTTTTAATTTTATTTTTGTTGTTTTTCATTTTATTTCATGTATATATATTTATGCTTCATTGTGACTTTAAAATTGAAAAATCAAAACAAAATGAGAAAACAAAAAATTGAAAACATTTAGATAACTGAAAATGGAAAAATTGAATTAGAAAACAGTGGACTGAAATTGGAAGATGAAAATGGAACCTTGGGACTTATGCACTGTGATGTTAATTTATATGAATTTGTAGGCTGTGACCCTTGTGGATGGAAGTTGGGATATGTTGTTTTGTTTGGGCAGAAGTGAATTTGTGGGCTGTGACCCTTATGTTGATAAAAGGAGTATGGGCATATGTGACTTGATTTTATGTGGTTGTTGTGTTGATAAATGGAGGATGGGCATTTTCAATGGATGAAATTGTTGAATTGGTTTTGTGATGTTGTTGTGACATTGAATAAGATTATATACATGTGTATGCCTTTGCTTTAAAATTCTATAAATTACATGTGTTGTGATGTTTAGAGATAAGGAAATAATATAACACTTGTGTTTTGGTTTGAAATTTTGTTGGAAAGAATTTGATTGTTGATTATTGAGTTGAAATGTTTAAAATGGAAACTGGAATTGTTGTTTGGAGCTCACTTTGTGAAGCATGATTGTTAATATGGAAGTTGGTTTTGAAAAGTTTGAATTGAAAATGAAATGAAATAAGTTTGTTCTTGAGAAATGAATTGTTTTGAAATGAAAAATTCTTAGAAAATGTTTGATGTGCACACTTTTGAATTGGCAACTTGTGAGCATGCTCCCATCTTTTGTTTCATTTGTTTAGCCTAAATGTAGAATTGCATAGATGTCGTTTGTTCTAAGTGTTTAAATGCATGAGTTTTGTGACTTGAAGTTGAAACTTTTGCACTTAAGTCTTAAAAATGCAAAGTCAAGTCTAAATGCGTCAAAATTGATTTCAAATGGAACTTTTTACAAGTTTTTGAACTTAATTTGCTATATGCTCATGGTTAAGCTCTAAATTTAGAAAAATGATCTTTTAAATATTGGAAATTTCTTTTGTAAACAAAGTTGTTGGTTTTGGAAATTGAAATTGCCTTTTGGACTTTGGAATTGAAATGTGAAGTTGAATTTTTAAATTCCTTCAAATGTTGAATGTTCAATGCATGATTCTTGTTATTATGCCTATCTGCAATGCATTTAAGCTCTTGAACCATAAAGTTTTCAAAATTTTCAATTTTAAACCACAAGTTTTGAAATTTTCCAAAGTTATCCAAAATGCCCTTAAATGAGTTGAACTTGTTCCATTTGCTCTATTCTTCATCCAAATGCATGTTTCAAGTGCCATTGAGTTTATTCTTGTCAAATCTTGATTCTTGCCATGTGAGGGTGTCTAGTTGATATTTTTTGAGCTAAGTTGTCATGAACTTGAACTTTTCTTAAAAAATGTGTTGAATTGTCATCTTGAACCAAACTTCTTGAAGTCAAATGTTCCTATGTTGCATAATAAGCTTGAAATTGGCCTAATGTGATTTTTCTTGGAATAAGTGTTGTGCCTTTAAGTTTCCTTGCTTGTATATACATTTTTCACATATTGCACACACTTTGCTTCACATTCTTGGTTTACAAAACATGTTTGCTCTTTTGAATAAATTTTTGTTTAAAAATAATAATAATAATAATAATAAATATTTTAGTAGGCTCACCATTGTGCCCTTTTGTATACTTCCATATTTTATATTGAGCTTGATCTCACATTTCTCCCTCACTTTGTGTCATATTTCCTTAAAATGCTTGATTTGCTTATTCTTTATCACATTTGATATTTGATGTGAGTTTGCTAATGTGGTTATTCAAGTAGGTTGTTGATTCCAAGTTTGGGGGAGACGTCTTTCAAAATGGATCATTGCCAGACTTCATAGACTTTTGCCACCATGATATACTCTTTTCATCTCTTCCATTGTTCTCATTGCACATTGAGGACAATGTGTGACTTAAGTTTGGGGTAAGATAGTTTTGATGCATTCTGCTTAAAGTTTTAAGCTTTAATTGCATGATTGAGCTTTAAGATTCAGCTTAGCAATGATTTTGATATTTTTAAAGCCATGATACTTAGAATTCAAAAATTGTTTGACTTATGAGTTCAATACTCCTTGTATGCCCTTGGGATGTCATTTTAGGGAATTTTTTTTCAAAAGATTGACATCTTGCTTGCTTTTGTGGTCCACATCACCTTGTTTGTATGATTATTTTGAGATTCATCTCTAGAGTTCTACACTTGCACATGTGCACACTAGTATTCATTTGTGGGGTACATGTTTAGTTGATCATTGCTTTAGAGGTAGTAGAGCTTCGAAGCAAGAAGAAGATACGCCTATATTCCTTTAACTCTATCCAAGGATGCTACTCTTAGAGTGACTCTTCTTCTCTACAAATGGCTTAGAGTTAGCAAGCAACCTTGGCCTCTTGGCAGGAGGGTCGCTGTCCCCCTCCTTTCTTTTCGGTCTGACCTAGTCATTCATTCACTATCAATCCTATTTTGTGAGCAGCTGATGTTCCCGGATTAGTGAATAATGTTTCAGCAAAAGCAGCGAGCAGCGGTTCTCAGTGAGGGAACGTCTAGTCAGCGTTCTTTCTCAAGATCTCCTCTCCTTCCCCTCTGCACTTCCATAAAACCTTTCCCAACGGAATACTACTCTTTTAGTAGCAATTGTTGAAGACGTGCTTGCCAAGTTGAGTCAACAACAACGGCCCATCAGGTCAGGTTTCAAGCCTTGGATTATGAGCTTAGATAAAGTAGCTCTAAAAGCTCCGACATCCTTAAGGACAGGTTGCGATGGATAATGGCATGAAATAGCCAAGCCCCATTAAAGACCTACGTTATCGGGCAGATTTGGCCAGATGCTAGTAAAACCCATTCCTGGTATTATATTATAGAAAGATAAGTCTATGGAATAGAACAGCCATGGAAAGCAATCCGCTGACTTTAAATAATCAATAAAGAAGCGACATCATAAACCTGTGGGGCAATCAATATCCTTCCAGTAAGTCTAGAAAGGGCTACAAGTGCCTATGCTTTGCGGAAGAGGGAGAAAGACAAGGCTATACACTCCAAATTGAATAAGGAGATTGGATTAGGGGGGGACTAGTGATGCAAGTTTTTATTTATCAATAATAAAATACTACTCGCAATAGAACGAATCCTTAAAGGATAGGTCTATGTTGAGGGTGTCGAACCTCAAGGATTGTGGTGGTTTATCAAGACTTCAATTAATACTATTTTAAGAAAGAGGATTTGATTTGTTGTGTTGTGCTGCAATTCAATAACATAAAAGAAAATAAACAGAATAAAATGACTGAGATCAAGAAAAGAAATACTTAGGGATCGACTTCACCACGAACCTCATACTAAATCAACTGTTCAACCTTGGGATTTCAACAATTATGCATTGTATGGAATTAAACTCAATAACATTCATTTAATTCAGATTTAAAGAAATATGTTTCTTTAAACTTAGCTGTAATACCCCTAGTTTTCAAAAGGATATAAAAGGGATTTAATTAAATATTTTATTGTCTTTTAGGTGCTTACGTGGTTATGTACTTATGTGGCTTCATGTTATATGCTTATTTATTTTAATTGCTTGTGTAGTTTATTTGATTAATTGGGTGTTAAATGATGTGCGGTTTACTTGTAATTATTTATTAGGATTAAATGATTTAATTGCTTTATGTTTTATTTTATTTTATATTTGTAGAAGGAAGGATTTGGATAGTAGTAATAGACCACTCACTTGGGTCACATGGACTACTTGGATAGGATGAGTAACGGGTATGGATATTTTACACATGGATGTTGCTATATATATATATATATGGGTCTATATGTATACTTATGGATATTATACTTATTAGTATTTTAAATAATTATATTAATAAGTATAGTTAGTTTATGTATATATATATATATATATAGTATCAGTTAAATTTATATATATATATATATATATATATATATATTTTTACGTACAGACTTCATAAATATGTATTATGTTTTATTTTTATTTTTCATTTATTTTCATTCTCTTATTATTAGACTTAGGTTATGAATAGGATTAGGGTTTGTTATAAGCCTATATATACTTCTTAGGTTTGTCTGTCAAGGGTTGGAAGAAACCCTATTCACGCCACTTTTTAGAGACAAAGAGTTTGAGAGAAAAACTGAGAAAGGAAGCTAGGGTTTTGGCCAAGGATTGAAGGCCGGACCAAGGAGGAAGGAAAAGGGTGTGTTCGTGGGTAAAACCAAGAACAGAGAGGGTTCTATTGCAACCAAGGTCACCTGAAAACCTAGGAAGAAGACGGTTAAAGGTTTCAAACCGAAACCTTAAGAGGCAAGTTTTACTTCTATCTCCTTCCCTTAGACTTCGTGTTCTATACAGGCCTAAGTTAATTCCAGGAACTAATCAGACTTTAAATTGATGTATTATGCATGCTAATTCTGGTTTAAAACAATGTTAGATGAATTTATTTGTAATTGTTTTATCTTGTAATTTATGCCATAAGTATTTGTTTTAATTGATGTTAATAATGCATAATTGATTTAAATAAATTACTCGAATGATTCGGGACTTAGTTCAGACTCTTACGACCATCAACAATGGAGAACAGAGAGATTTGAAACTCATCAAAGATGAGAAGATGATGCAGATCAGGGTGAGAGCCGGCTCCCAAGGGGTGAGAGCCGGCTCCCAAAAGGGAATTATTTTGACGACTCTCAGGGAGAGAGAGCCGGCTCCATAGAGTTGAGAGTCTGCTCCCTCAAGATGAGAGCTTGCTCTCAAGTGGATAGAGCTTGCTCTTAAGGGTGCAGAGCTTGCTCTCAAGTTGACAGAGCGTGCTCTCAAGTGGACAGAGCTTGCTCCCATAAGAACAGAGCCTGCTCCCTTAGTTGGGAGCTTGCTCTCGCACTGGATTTTGCAGAAATTTAATTATTTTAAGTTTCTGTTTGGCAGATTGGGTTGTTTAATGATGTTGTTACAATTTTGGATGAGTTAGATGGTTGAAATGATGGGACTAACTCCTATAATGCATAATCTACATTAACAAGTTATGGACTTGAACAATACGACACTTTAAATAGGTCTGCATATTGTTATTGGATGATTTAATTGCTTACTATTATTTAGCAATTTAAATGGAGGAATATTCGTATTAAACTAGTTTAATTAATTAATTGGATTTAAATAGTTTAATTATGTCCTAGAGGTTAAAACAATCTATTTGAGATGCATGTTAATATATTATTGTAAAAAAATTAAATGCATTCTACTTAGAGTTGTTATTTTGCTTAAGTATATGGAAGGATTATATATGTGATTTTTATCATGTTATTTTGGATTATATGATGTACTGCTTTATCTGTTGCATTATGTATTGGATTGTATGGATGTAATGCACCAGTATGGGACGGTGGCATTTTAGGGACGGATTAACTTATCAGTTAAGTCCTACCTATTTTGTATAAGGGAATGGATTAACTAAAAATATTAAATCCTACTTATATTCGTGTCAACTCAACTGAACAAGTTGAATGACCTATATGGATTATTTATGGATAGATAGGATGGATTTTATATACATATAGTTATGATGCCATGATATGAGCTTGAGTCTCAGGATCATGGTTAAGGTGCGTATATTGCCTAGGATGAATAACTGGACATAGTAGACATCTGGGTGCCCTAGTAGGTCTAGGTACTCATGCCCACTTTATGGGCGATTTGCATGTTGCCTTCTATTCAGGTTGAGACAGACCTATAGTCCAGTGAGCGTCCTATAGTGTGTATCTATATATATACGGACTACTGATGAGCTCTAAAAAGTACGCATTTAAACCCCTTAAGCTTGGGTATTCTAAGACCTTATCCTATCTTATTTTCCCGTTTTATACTAATTTCATATTATTTCCCTTTTCAGGCATTTATCCCCAAAATAAGTTAATCCAGCTGAATTAGACTATAAAAGATGCGATCTCAAGCTTAGTGGAAGAAATAGGGATGGCAATAGGGCGGGGCAAGGCGGGGATCTCATTCCCCATCCCCATCCCCGCTGAATTTTTTAATCCCCATCCCCGCCCCCATCCCCGCTTAAAATTTCACTACCACCCCGATACCCGCCCCCGCACCCGACCTCTTATCCCCATCCCCGCCCCATCCCCGGCCCCGATTAACATATATTATTTTTAAAAAAACATAATTTTTCTTATTTTCATATATATAATAAATCTAATTTAGTAATAAATTATTAAATGTAAGGGTATATTAGTAATTTAATACTTAATCGGGGCGGGGCGGGTTTACCCCATCTCCGCCCCCGGCAAGTTTTCAAAATTTACCCCCATCCCCATCCCCGTTTACATAAAAGAGTCCCCATCCCCGCTATAAATAGGGTGGGGACCCGATGGGGATGGGGAATTTGCCATCCCTAGGAAGAAAGGAGAAAAGTGGTGGAAAATAGGAATCTTCGATCGATCAGACCAAGCTCAGATCGATCTCACAGTGATCGTTCCAACCATGCCAAGATGGATCGAGCCTCTTGTCCTTATCCTCAGGAAATTCCCATCTTTGATCGATCCAACATTACTTCGATCGATCGGACTTCTTTAATCTTATCCCCACCTACCACTTTTGTCCTTTTCCCAAAATATCCAAAAAATATCTCAGATTTGTCTTTATTCCAAAAAGGCGCCGCCATGGTTTGATCGATCTAACCACCCTTGTGATCGATCGAACCTCCTCAAGTGTGAGAAAAATAGAGTTCCAGCCAATTAAAAGGTGTGCTTGTGGTGTAATCATTTGGAGGTCCTAGTGCACGAGGTCTGACCATTGTGTGTGACACTTAAGCTACCTATATAAGGATTTTAAGCCTTTTACACATATACAATCTTAGAGAAAGGAACCAAATACACAAGAGAGGTTGGAGGAGTCTAAAGATTAGAGAGACACA